AAATGAGACAGGCGACGGTGCCTCTGCCACTGGTCCTCGTTTCTTGGCGTCAATTTTAGTCTTCAAACCTTGCTCCTTCCGGGATCCATCCTCATATGTTCCAAGAAAGGGGTAGCTCTTTCATATTTTCCTCCTTTCCCTTTCAAGCTGATTGCTGATTCAAACAACCAAGGTTTTCAACTGTAGAGAATCGTCTTAGAAGGTGTAAAAACGACATACTAAATGACTTGCTTTAGTCTCCACATATACATATAGAGGCATGGCTTAAAAGTTGGTGGAAAAGGGCATTCAAAGGTCTAGCATCGTGCCTAAGGTTGGACCTTTTCCCTTAGTAACAATATCTATGGGATCAATTGGTTTTCACTCAAATACCATAAGAAACCAACAACGTTGATGCCAAGAAAAATTGGTATGTCTCATATATATATATATATATATATATAGATACATACATGATCTTATTGTAAGTCAGTTTTGACCTTGATAAATTTAAAATACTTTGGTGGGAAGTTGTCAAAAGACTTATAGCAACTTCGCAGAACATGCCAAAAGTACACTACCGTACAAGTCCTTGTAGTCCTTTTAAGTTAGTCGTCTGTCTAAGTATTTAAAAACATTTTTAATTCCATTGGCTGAAGGAAGATTTTTAACTGCCAATTTGGACATTGTAGTCGTCCACCCATCTGTCAACATTTTCTATTTAATATCCTAACAAAAGGGCATCTCTGAATTGTGATAACTAAAGTTTCATGCAAGTGGGTGAGAAAAATTAGGACCCAGATTAATTTACTACAACCCATAGATAATTTTCAATGCCATGGGCAGAAAATTAATATAGGCAATATTTCTGACTTGACATTGTCAAGTGATGCTGCAGCAGCATCAGCAGCTTGGGTTGAGGTTTCTCAGAATATTACCTTGCTGTTCTTCTAAGCAAAACCTTTTCCTGTCTAAACCTTGCAATGCAATTCCCTTCCAACATTATTATACTACTTTTGGAGATTTCAGAATCAGAATACCGCAAAAGGGGGTTCCATTATAGGTGGGGATTTGTGGTTACAATTTGTTTGGCGGCGAAGACTTTTGGCCAAATGATGGACAAGATCAAGGCCAGGAAAATATCTCAAAACAATGTTAAAGGTGATGGAGACTAGACAAGTAGACTTACCATGAATGCCACACAAAGTTGGCATCTTCCAAAGTCAGTCACTGAACTTTCTGGAACCTGCCGGACAATTATTCTAGGTCCTTGCAACAACCGCCTAACTCATGTTAGGCACCGACTTTATATATTCTGTCCGAATTCATGTCTTTTCCGGCTCTCTTTTTTAAGGTATTTGAGTTTATGTGTTTCATAAACTATTAAATGTTAGGTACATTCATGAATATATATATAATAAATATGTAACACGGTATGTTATAATTAACTTATTTATTAAATATATTGAATTAAATTTTATATGATACGGCATGATTAATATAATTAAAATTTATATAATTTATAACATGTTTACATAAAATGATTAAATTAAAATATGTACAAGTAAAATATGATTTTATTATTTACATTTAAATATTTGGTTCATTTATGATTTTTCTACTTAAAGAGTAAAATTTGAATCTTCGATCTTTATATTCAAAATATATATAATATTATATTATTCAAATTTATAATAAAAGTTTATAAATATTATAATATTTATCAAACATAATAAAGTTCAATATAAATGAATCTTAATTATTATAAAAATATTAATATTTATATGGATCGATAAATAATCATAACCGTGAATTAAACGTGCTTATATAAAGAACACGATTAAATAAATAGATAATAAATGAAAATGCGATTAGCGAATCATGTTTTAAACAAATTATATGGATTTGACGTGATTAATACACGAAACACGATTAATTCAAATCTAAATCTGCTTAAACTTGTATCATTGTTCGTATCATATTATTATGTCATATAAAAAATTACCAAATCTAGTATAAATGAGGAACCACAGACTAATCACATTGAAATTGAAAATAATAAGAAATTTGGTGAGAACTTTAATGTACTCGTTGCCAGCACGTATCTTACGGTACCCTTGGTGTCCAGTACATTGTACCTTTTCGTTTGCCCTTAGATGTTGCTTTGAAAAAGTACCCTAAACCCTAACAGAGGAAGAAAAGTGAGGAATGATGAGCAGAAGAAAATCATGAACAAACTCAACAACATCATAGAGAAAATTTTGCTTAAAAATAGTTGCTATTAATACCGATGATAAGAAAAACGCTTGATATATATTGACAAAGGGATGAGGGAGATGGTACATAATCATCATCAGCATCAGCTCAAATGAGAAACCAAAAGGCAATCCATAATCATGAACCTTCGTTGCACTTTCACACAATAGAGTTAAGAAATGGTCTGCAACATCATGTTTTTGAATTCTTCAAAATCAACCACGCCGTCCAAGTTGGTGTCGTAGAAGCAAATCATGCTTCTGCAATCTTTGCCGCTGCTTTCATCCCACAAACCAAGTCTTACCAACACGCTTTGAAGCTCCTCGCAGGAAATGAAGCCATCGCCATTCAAGTCAAACACTTTGAAAGCCTTGACAAGGTCACTGTCTTCACCGGCTTGGATTAATCCATCCTCCTCCCCTGATCCTGCTGGCTCCATGTTCTTGCCATCATCATTCTGGTTCGAGATAGAATCATAAAAGAACAAGAATTCATTGAAGTCGAGACATGGTTTTCCCACAAAGGACCCCAACTCCTCAAGGCTGAACTGCACTCCAATTCTCACCAGGACCCAGTTGAGCTCCTCCAGGCTAACCAAGCCATCCCCGTTCTTGTCAAGCTTCTCAAAAATCCGTTGCAAGTCGTTATTGCTAAGGGGAGACATGTCGTTGGCAAAGAGAAAGTCACCATGAACATGAAATATCGATGCTTTATTGTTAATTTAGTGTTTCTTGCGCATACGATGACAACATCCTGAAGGGTTCGTTGTATATTTATATATGCAAATGGCTAATGGAAGTAGTTACGGTTTGTGAAAATCCAAATCATGGAGAAGATGATTCAGGAAGCTGGCAAGAAATTTCCTAGGAAAATTATTGATGGAAACAAATATTATTTTGATTTTCAGAAGATTGAATATTCTTTTCTGTTGGGGCAGAGATGAAGCAAACATAACACAATGGCTGGGGATCAGTAAATGAAACTTTTGTCTTCCAATCCCTATCCCAATCGTGGTCTTCGTGCCTCATGTCCCTTTCATTGATTTTCTATGCTTCTTTTTTTTTTTTTTTGAAAGTCGCTTCTATAAAATAGATTTTAATACAAGAAAACCATGGATCTTATAAAATATCAATTATTTTCTTGAAAAACCTAGAAATTTCTTTGAGATAAAGTTGCCACATATCTTGCTAGATACAGTTGCTTTTTTAATTTAATTTAAATTAATATATATAATATTAAAAATTTTAAATAAATTCTTATTCTTTATTTCATCCCATTAAATTTTTATATTTTTATTTTGAATTGAATAAATCTTTATAACTAACAATTGTTATTATTTAAAACACCAATCATTTTATATCCCATGAGATTTTCTAAGACATTATATCTTAGGAAGACTAGTAGACTTGTGTTAAGGCATATATGGAAGTCAAAATCTTAACTATTGGAATTAACAACTTGATATGAAGTTAGATATTTGTTCTTTTAAAAAGAGGAGTAGGATTCATATGATATTGAAAAAATTATTTCCTGGTATATTTTTAAAAACCCACCAAACTTTTATGTAGACATAAAAGAAATTTTAATTCACCTATATAAAAAAATTTAAGCTTCAAATATTTGTTTTCTTTTTTTTTTTTGTTGTTTTATCAATCATCATTCTAATATTCTGAGGGAAAAAAAATTGGAACGTGTATTGGATGATAATAATAAATTGAGATAACTATGATACCTTGCCCAACCATAGCAGTAATGATCCAAAAATTGACTAGCCAATGTTCTAATAAAGGATGTCTTTGGTCTCTCGGTTCCTAGACGGAACACGTGTCTGGACCATGTACACGTAATTATTTCGGACCATAAATTTCCATCTCCCCTACTTTGTTAAGGGGCCATCTGGTCGGCTGTAGCCTTGGGGCCGAAACCTATGTGCGCTAAGACATATCCTTTCCTCCCATTGTTTGAGTGTGGAAGTTGAATTGATGATGCAGGTGCCGTTTGAAAGGCGCGAAAGGCCAAGGAAAAACCTATCTTGATAGAGAGAAATGGAAAATCTATACATTAATTGACCAAATCTTTCTCCTGGTTTTAATCTTCGCATCAGTCTCAGGTTTTTTTCTAGAATAATTACTATAAAATTCTTCTTATTATTGTGAAAATGTGTGATGCAAATCTGCAAATATATTTACACTCAAATAATTAATATATAAATTTTTTATTTAAAAAATAGAATTCGAATTTCTTTTTTAATTAAAAAAATATGCAAGCGTATTTAATTGGCAATTTAACAAAGATTTTGTGGGTAAGCATATCAGCCCCATCCCCACACAATTATTCATTAAATAGCTCCAAGGTTTACGCCACTCATTGACTACTACCGACAGCCTCTAAACATCGGCCACAGCTGATTTATTTCTGCTTTTTTTTTTTTGGAGTATGGAAAAAACTTGAACGTGAGAGCCATATTGATACAGGTCCTCTGCAAGCCTTATCTATATCCAAAGGCCACTTTGCTGACATATATATAACAAATTAACAGAAATTAATGTAGGTCAGGAGTTAATACGAATGGGCTGCATTTTTTATAGATGCAGCACATTGTACACTTCTGCAGCAAAAATGGCAGCAGGAAGGTTTACTCTCATCACTTTCACTTTGATAAAAGAAGCAATCTGCATGAACTAGATTGCTTTGCTGACATATATCGCACCACTCTTTTCTGTCACTAGATATCAAAAGGCTAAGACATGCAAGAAATAAGCAACTTGTTCAAATGTCAAGAAAATTTTATTCCAGAATAAAAACATCGAAGAGTTGAGAAATAGGGAAGGTTTGAATGATGGCGAGGTAATAATATATCATACAAAATCTCACCACCTCTTAACTCATTATTTCCAAGAACATTACTTACTAAACCAACTAGCTTTGATAATAATACAAGTTACTGAAGGAAAGAGATTTATTCCTGCTATGAACCAACTAGTGATTACCAAATCACAAAAAAGCAACAAAAAAAAAAAAAGAATTGTTGTGTCTCTGCTTATGTTCAACTTCATGGCTTTAAGCTATACTTTCCTGGTTCACCGTAAGTTTTCTCCAATTGCTCAATTTTGTTGATTTTGAAACCCCTGATCCTCAGTTGCTCTGGTATTGCTGTATCTTTGTAGTCAATGCTCTCAAGAAGCCAGCCCTTGTTCTGTATTGATCCTCCTACTTTTACCTATTTCCAAAACCATGTTATTATGAAATTGTTCTTCAACTGAACTAAAAGCCTGAACCCCAAACTAAAGTTTCCTACAAACATACAAAAAACTGCCTTCCACATTTTACAAGCAGAGAAGAGTCGCGTACTCAATATAACAAATTTGATCCCTGAGCTAATAATGATAATGGCTAAACTAAGTGAATAAAGAAATGATAGGCAATGATCAGGCACAAATTTTTGAACAAGAAGACGTAAGAAATTAAAGTCATGAAAGTCAACATATTTGGGAAAAACATCTCGTATGATATTCCAAAATATGGCACCAAACTAAGATATAAATAGAACAATCATGGTACTTATAGACAACGCTTAAAACATCCAGTTGTAACAAACAACAAATCTTTTAAACTTGTTGCAAAAGAGTGCAAGGAAAAAGACCAAAAAAATAACAGATTAAACAATAGCATGCATCTACTATCAATTTATTATGGTTTACCTCTGCACCATCAACAGAGTCAACGATAAGAGCTCCATCCAAGGATAGATCTTCAAGAAAGATATCACGGCCCTTAAGGGCCATGGTAGACGTTTGAGAAATGGAGCAACTTCCACTAACTTTGCTTTTGATATCAGAGAAAGTCAGCCCCCATTTAGGATTCCAGGTAACACGTGGCCACACTTCCACCTCTTGCCCATTGAAAACCTGCTGCACTGCATCCTCCACTTGGACACCAGCCTAGCAAACATATGAAAATTGGAAACCAAACGGTCCAACAATAAAATGAGCGATAGAATTAGAGAGTGAGAAAAAGATTTTAAATAATGAGACAGATTCTAGATTCTAGCACTTGAATTTAGCAAAAGAATAACATGATAACCTTTTTAAGGATGAGACTGTTTGCACGATATATGGCCATTTCTCCAGAAGTTGCACTGTGATACGGGTTCCCTTTTGGTACCTTAATCAAGGTTGAGCAAACATTAATAACTAGAATCAAAATGACAAATTGTGCCCAGAACATAAACTCTAAATCACAAAGGACAACAGAAGATCATGATTATAAATATCCAAATTGGAGCCTTGGTTCTAAGGTAGATAAAGAATATGCAGCCTAAAGGTTGCCTTACTTGAAGATTAACCAAGAACAGTTTAAAAGAGACAAAAAGTGAATTAGGCACAAGAATGGAGTTAAAAGATATTATAATGATCACCACCATCTAAATAACTGTAGCACATCCCTTGAAACAACTCTATATTTTTTCAAGCGTGAGGACTGGATTTAAGAAAAGTAATGAATCTAAAAGGAACTGGTGCACTTAATTGACACAAGTTATAAAAAAATAGTTCCTATTAGAAGTTGTGGCAAAATAATGCTAAATAGGATGATTAGGATTTAAACCTGTATGATGGAAGATAAATAAAAGAAAAACTTAAATGATTAACTGTGAAATAGATTCCTGAAAGAAATTACACAACAAAATCTAGATCTTATAGCTTTTCAATGTTGTGATCTCCACAGAAGGACTTATTATACTGCCACTCCATTGTGTATTAGACCAATCAACACCAGAAATCCTGGATTTGCGATTCATCAACATGCTACATTGTTATAATAGCAACCCTGTTAAATAGAGAAAGATGGAGTACAGAAATTATTAAAATATAATTTCACCTTAGCAGCATCCTCAGGGTTGTTTTTCACAGGTGCATAAGCAAGCCATGTATCCAACACCTACACAACCATATTACATGAGGTTTAATTATGAATAAATATTTAATAGCAGATTCTTTAACAGAACGACAAGAGAAACAGGTTCCTGTCAGATAGGAGATAGGAGGTATCAAGACCAAAAACTTTAAGTCTGATTACAGGAAAGGCTTGAAACCACCAGTTACCGTAAATCCAACTCTTGCTGTGGGAGGCAATGTTTTAGGATAGTCTTGCATCATGCACTCTAGTCGAGTTGAGGATTTAAATGATGTTTTGCTAGCATCCTTATACCTGCAGTAATATAGGACAAAACAGATGACAGCGGTCGAGACTCACTTTCTTCTGTACAAGGGACTAAATATACAAAGTCCACAATTAATGTCTTGGGACATCAACAATCTGATAAAATCAGATCAAGTTGTTGAAGAATTTCCCAAAATGATTTGGAATCGATTGAATCTAACTTCTTTACTAGCTAGGAACCTAACAATAAAAGGAGCTTAATTGTCTCATTGTCCTAACTGTTTCAAGAACTGGAAGAAATTTCCCACAGCAGGCAAATTCTAAGAACAATGTACAATACTTAGATGTTTGCAATAGCCACCCATGAAAATTCAACAAATGATGCCAATGAGATTACCATTTATTTCAAAATTTTCTGTTATGCTACATTTTTCCGAGAAATTCAGCTTAATTCCTCTTCCTCATGTTGCTTCACATGGCATGCATGCTTTGAGGTTTTAAAAATAATTAATGAATTAAAAAAGAACTATACACTGTTTATTTCAGAATCTTGTTATAAGCAATACGAAGATGTTAAATCATCCATAAAGCATAACATTAACAAGTTTCAATCATAATTAGCAAAAAGAAAAAGAATTACTTGGGATTAACAAATTCCTTAATAGCACCCCCTGTTTTTGACAGCTCCTCAATGTATGGACCAAGCTCCAAAATCAGCTGTAAAACAGAACCAAAAAAGAACGGGAAAGGGAGGGAGAGCAATTAGACAAAGAATGGAATAGTTCCCACATATGGATACAAAAAATCAGATTAAATTTCATAAACATCATCATGATGACAATGACATTTTCATCAGTAGAAAAACTTTGTAATTTTTGGTCCCTCTAACCACATTGCTTACATAAGTAAAGAATCCTTTATATAATCCCAACCCTAGACATCCCCCCAGAACTAAAACATCTAAGTAATGCTTTTGAGCCAGAAAAATTACTTGGTTTATATTTCCTGGGAAAGGAGAATAGCCTGTCTCACAATTAACATCTCCATCAGGATGTCCAGTGGCTCTAAGCAGAGGATCAAGTTGATTGTATTCGACATTGATCACCATCGATCTCCCTGAAGTCAATTTCAATAGCATGCAGTGAAGCATAAATCATAGTGCAATTGAGACCTAAAACACCGACTATAGCATAATTGTATCATATATATCTGATATATCTAAGAAGAGGAAAAGAGGGGTGGGAGTGAGAAAAAGACGCAATTATGCACTGTATATATCGTCAATTAACATAGACAAGCATAAAAAGCAAAAGTGACCTAAAGAAATCAGAATTAGTGAAGTGCAGACCTTCTTTTAGTTTTATGTCAACGTCCCTATAGAAATAGGTCTCTAAGCAAATACACTCACATATAATTGGCAGTTCTAGCTTTGAAGGATTAGAGGAGAGTTTCATATATAAATACCATCACTGTGAGTGAGTCTGGTAATTCCTCCAATAGCTTCTTTTGCTTTGCGTTGAACAGCAAGAGAGTTGACATGGTATTGTTTAGTAGCACTGACTCCCAGTGATGCTGGAATTGCCTACAATGAAACAGTAAAATTTTATTTAAAAAAAAACAGTTTTGCACAATTAACATAAAAAAACTCTGGATGAAATGATTGAAATTGTAGCAGTCAACCTTGAAGAGGAGTCCATTTGTGTCTTGGAAAAAGAGAACCCATCTCAAACCAGCATTACGCCTAGCAAAAAGTGATGATAAAAGTATGAAAAGAAATATAAAAAATTATCCATTAAACCAATTACCAGGAGTGACATTTGAATTTTTTTAAGCTATGTAACTGATGTAGATAAATGTTGAGATAATTAAGAGAAAGGATAATTAGAAAACAGATTATTTATAAGTGTATGGTAGATAGATTACTAGCTTACTCACATGGTTGTTGTCAGTTTGTTTCAATGTAATAGCTTAATGTGGGTTAGAAACCAAAACTTGAGTCATACTACCATAAAGAGCGGCAAGGGCAAGAGCAGAATTCATATAAGGAGTTTCCGTGCCATAAAGAGATAAGTTTACAACAACAGGCAACATAGAAAAGTAAACTTGAAAAGGCATGCAAAAAAATTCAAGTTTCCAGAGTTTAGAAGCCACATAAGCATTTGAGACATACCATATGTTCAGAAGGCCGCTAGAATAAAGAAGCGAGTGCACATCACCATGGCCATGAGGTTTTGTCTAACAAGACAAGCAAAGGTTTATGAGAAGAACCTAAAGTTTTATGATTGAGAATGTATCCATTGCCTTGTATACAGCACTTACCTGAATTTTGTACTTGTTATGAGGGTCCAAAGCAAGCCTAGCATCATTATCATCTAAGCATGCAACTTTTTCCTGCAAGTATATATAGCACTTGACGTAATGCAACTTAACAACAGCTTTCACCAACAACACACAATGAGTGATTACATACCTGCTTAAGAAGTTTAACTTGAGTAGGTTTCATCCCGAAATAAGAATTTGATTCTAAAAGCTCCAATATACGAGCATGGGTGTCATCTGATGTCATTATTACAAAAGGAATCTCCTTTTGACATGCGCCTAAAATTTAGAGAGAGAGAGCAAAGAAGTTAAGAGATAAAAAGAGCTAATAAGTTTAAAAATGTAATAAACACTACAATGAATTTTACTAAACAAAGGGTTGGATATTAACTAATATTTCTTACTTAATTGATGCAAATATGTTGACATGAACACCTCTATCTTGTAAAAAACATGAAATAGTTCAGCTTGCTGAACTAGGGAGGCTGTTTACAAAGTATTTAATGGCCTCAGGTTGCTTAGCTAATTGCACCTAGAATATAGCTCAAGCAGATACTGAAAACAGATGATCGTTGTGCTTTTTTACCCAGAGGAACTAGTCCAGGTGAGAGCTTCCTTATATGGATAAGCTCATTTGCTATTGTTGATTATTGCACATATAAGCAAGAAATTTAACTACATAGAAAACATTACCGTCTAACTTGGAACTCATTTCATCTTGATCATTCTATCATTTTTCACACTTTTTTGAAAAGTGGCTTTTCTGATGATCGCTATAATTTAAACCTAAGTTCATCCAAGTGGCCTTCCCATGCATATCGACTAGTGAAATTTCCCATTGGCTGCTGAGTAAGCAATTTCTCATGCGCTAAGCAATTTCTCATGCATATCAACTAGTAAAATTGCTACTCTTAGCTGCTCAGTAATTTCCCATTGGCTGCTGCCATCATATACTGAAGGACAATAACACTTAATCTTCCTTGATCACATGGAAGAGAAAAATTAAAAAGACTATAGAATATGGAAGGCTCCTAACAAATAAGATGCCATACGAACCTTTTGTGAGCCTACTGCTAGCTTCCTGAAGAGCCAGAATAGACTCAATGTAGAGTTGTAAGAAACATGTTCCAGTTGTGGTCTCTGCTGGAAGTGCAACCTACAAGGTGTAAAAATAGCTAGTCAAAATTTCTTTTTTGGGGGGAGCAAAACTAACCAAGGTGTTGGGACTGATTTAATCAAATATATGGTTAACCCTCTTTAAAAAAAAAAAAAGCATCTATCCAATGTGCTGACAAGCATGAGTACAGGATCTTTTACTGGAACACAGGCTTCACACCAAAGTATCTATCAAATATATTTCAACTACGTAGATTTGTGTACCTTTTCTGAACCAAATAATTGAAATTAACAGGATAAACAACATAGTAACTGTCAGTCCATAGGTAATCTACCTTAATTCCATTGTATCCAAGCCGTTCCCCAAGTCCACCTGCAACAAGAACAAATGCTGCCTTTGAAGCTTCTTTGATGCCTGCCTCCTCAAATTTGATGAAATTTTCATCACCAAAAGAAGGAATTTCTCCAGTTGGAACCTGCAAAATAATTCACTGTGTTTAAGAAAAAGTTGCAGAGAAGGCAGTGGAGAGAAGGGCATGATACAGGGTAAAGAAAACTTGATATTGATGTCAATTTACATTAATATGAATTGTGTCAATATAAGAAAATGGATACTAATTAACATCATCAAAAACTAGTATGAAAAAATCAAGTTTCCAAAGTGAAGGACTAATTCGTTACCGAAGGTATGAAGCCATCATACGGATTCTTCCCTGCTTTTGAGTCCGCTAAGAGCTCCCTAGCGGTTTTAATATACGATGCCAAACCCCCTGGATAGCTTGAATTTAGCTTCGCCACCTAGAAAGAAACAAATCCACTACGTAAAACTCTTAAGATAATAGAAAATATTCACTTGAACACAATTCAAACATATCCAAAACAGCAGAGAAAAGAAAAATAAAAGTCCATCCTCTTATGCCCTTAATTTTTTTTTTTTCATTCATAATTTTACTGCATTTACCGAAAACAAATAAAAATACAATTTTCATAATTAAAAAATTTAAATCACAGCAGAGTTCGGTAGAATTCCACAACTTCAAAAAAAATCCGAAACCTGAGCAAAAAAAGCTTTCTTTTGGTCGTCCTCGACGCCAGGCTCTGCCCATTGCTGAAACAAATGGCTCTGTCCCATCTCCAACAACATCTTAGCCAATTCAATCTGCCAAAACAACCAAACAAAGCACATAATTAGCGTGCTACTATATCAATATGTATATATATATAGAGTATTCGAACTTTTTTTGAAAAAAAGGTACGGAATCAGGGACATGCAAGACCTGATCCGGAGAAATGAGGTCGAGATTCTTGACAAGATTAGGAGGCCAATCTCCCCCGTTGATGTTGAGGTTGGAGAGAATCTCCGCCACCGCCAAAGCCATTCTCGCCGGAATTTTTTTTCAAATAAAAAAGAAAAGAGAAAATAAAGGAGTGAAGAAGAAGAAGAAGAAGCTTGACCAGAATTTTACGTAAATAGAGTCCAAAACGGAACTTAACTTATCATGTGAAGTGGAGGAGGGAGACAGAGGGGGAACTGGGAGGAAGAGCAGAGAGAATGTCGCCTCGAATGATGGTGACCGATAACCGGTTATTACCGGTTACCAACCGTTAGTTTATATGGGCCCCACCTGCCCACGGTCTAACAGCTCTACAATCACGCAACGTACGCCTGCCAACTGATTTCCCTTTTCTTTTTTTTTTTTTGCTTTTATTTGACTGAATTTTTTCTTTTTCTTTTGCTGGCTCATCATCAGATAATCATTTACCAAAAAGAAAAATAATAGCAATCAAACTGAAAATTTTTTTGTCTAATCTAATTTAAGGGAAAAGGTTGGAAAGTAGGGGTAGCTTTTCCGGATCTTTTCAATCTTGGCTTTTTCATTAGCAGCAGTTAAAAATCTTTTTTTCTCAAAAAAAAAAATAATGAAATTTAAAAGTAATGATTAACTTAAGAGTCCCAACTGATTAAAAAGACAAATTTAATTATTACCATATTTTTAAATATTTTTCTTTGTTGTATTCAAAAAATAAAAGGAAAATTTGTGTACCCTCCCTTTTAAAGTGCTAATGTTAACTGTTTGCATTTTAAAATATAAAGATCAAGAGTGTTCATTTGAATGGTTGGATTAAAACCAAAATTAAATTACCCGAATTAATATTTTCCTTAACCGAAAATCAAATTGAAATTCTATATAATCGAAAGATAACCGATTGAATTATTTTGAGTAATTCAGTCAAGTTACACAATTTAATATAATTAATGTTAAATTCGTGACTTTAGTTAGAAGTAAAAAGACTAATTATTCATAAATATCAAATTTTTATTCTAGCAATTAAAAATTAAAATAATTAATTAATTTAAGTTTAACATCAAACTAATTAAAAATTTACGAACTCCAACATTTATAGAGCATATATTTAAAATCACGTTCTAAATTACTAATTCACAATATTAACACGAATATAAGGAAATCCAAGAAAAATCAAATACACAAAAAAAAAAATTACATTCATAGAAAGTCAATAACTCAAAGGAGTATAGAATTTAGTCATCTAACAAAAATTAAAATTATAAATGTTCCGTAATTATTAATAAATGTCTTTCAAACTTTATTCAAATGCTTATACACTCACCTACATCACTCAATTAAGTTTCTTCATATAATATAATAATATATATAATTATAATAAGTGATTAATCAATATTTTTTATATTTGGGTTAACGGAAAATTGAATTATAAAAAATATTATAATATAATAATAAATCAAAATTATTTCAAAAACTGACTGATTAATCAAATTAATTTGATTTGACTCGAATTATGCGTAGCCCAAGCAGGGACAAAATTAATGACATTGTATATAATCATACAAATTAAATTAGTATGATATCTTGTTCTTGCATTTGTACTGGAGGAATAATAAAAGTTAGTACTAAAACATAAAGAAAAGGAAACCACGTGGCAGGTAGTGGCAGACAACCGAAAAGGTAAGCTTTTATTTCCTTTTAACAAACGATTAAAAAGAGAGGGAGAGAGAAAGGATTGAGAGCATATGCTTCCCAGGCTGAAGCACAATCTCCTTCAAGAAACTTTCCATTTCATTTTTAGCGTTTTTCGGCTTTTTTTTTTTTCGTAAATACTCACTAAGTCTATGTAATTATATATTTTATTTAATTTAATTTTTATATTTAAAATTAAAATAATTTAACCTTTTATTTTTTAAAATTATTTTAATTTAATTTATCTCCTAATGACATCTAATTTTACTGATAAAAAAAAAATATCAACATTAACGTGACATCAATATGATGACGTAATAGTATCACGTTATACTAATATGATGATGTGGTAATACTAATGCAGTACTGATATGCTTACGTGTCAATGCTATATGACAAATCAAAAATTTTTTTGAAAACAAATTATGTTACGTTGTATGGATTAAATTAAATAAAAATTATATAATACATGGACTTAATTGAACAAAATTAAAATGTTAAGAAACTAAATTGAAAGTATTTAAAAAATATAAATATTTAAATATATGATTGCTATACTTATTAATAAGTTAAATATTTAAGTGTAAAAGATTTATGGTGTTAAAATATATATATAAATATTTTTTTACTTGATTATTTGAGTCTAAAATATGTACATTAATTTATCTCCTTTGTAAAAATTAAATTTGAATTGTCCTTCTATAAAAAAAAATTTGAACAAAATCTCATATTTAAAGCTAAATTTAAATGAATAACTTACATGATATTGAAATAAAATAATATAAAAAAACTAAATAAATTTTTTTTATCTATTTATAATAATATAAAAATTTAAAATTTATTTAACTTAGTTTTTAACTTGAGCTGAATTCATATTAGCAAAGTAGGTTGATTTAGTTACAACTTTCACAATTTACAAGTATCCATTCTTGTGAAATCATTTAACCCTCACTCAATTTATCTTTTATTTAAATTTACCCAATGTTTCTTATAAAACAATTTTATTTAAATTCAAATACCATAATCAAATTTTGTTAAATTTAAATTATTAATTTAGATCTACAAAAAATACAAAATAACATGATACAAATAGTTACAATTATATTTAACTCTATTAGTCATAGATGGAGTCTTTAATTAAAAAAATTTCAATTTAAAAAATATAACCTGAAATATTGAACAAAATAAAAACATACAAAATAAATAAATAATTGAAAGGGTGAAGTAACTCAGATTCTATAAGTGTAATAAGAGGTTTGTCATGCTCAAATTAAGCAAGTTAGAACGAGAAATTATTTTTATGACCATCGCTAATTCCATGTCTTCTTTCTTCATTTTTTTCAAAAGAAAAAACTAAATCAATTTATTTTGTTAATTTAAATTCAGCTCAAGTTAAAAACTAAATTATATAAATTTTAAAACTTTATACTATTATAAATAGAAGAAAAAATTTATTTAATCTTTTTATATTATTTTATTTTAACATAATACAAATTATTTATCTAAATTTGACTTTAAATATGAAAGTTTTTTCAAAAAATTTTTTATAAAAGAAGAATTCAAACTGAATTTTTGTAAAGAAGATAAATTAACGTACATATTCGAAAATCAAATAATCAAGTAAATATATATATTTAATACTACAAAATCTTTTACATTTAAATATTTAACTTATTAATAAACATATCTATCATCTACTTAAATATTTATATTTTTTATATACTTTTTCAATTTCGTTCCCTTAATATCTTAATTTTGTTCAATTTAATCCTTATACTATATACTTTTGTTCATTTTATTTCCTATGATGTGACATAATTTTTTTTTGAAATTTTTTTGATCTATCGCATGACACCGACACGTTAACATGTCAATGTCACATTAGTATTACCATGTCATCATACTAGTGCTATGTTGCACTACCACGTAATCACGTTGGTGCCACATGACATGTCATGCTATCATGTTGATGCTATATCATTAAAATTTGTCATGTCAGCATCACGTTAGTGTTACTGTCATCATCTTTAATGGTAAAATTGAACACCGCTAAAGAGAGAAACTAAATTAAAGCAATTCTTAAAATCAAATGATTAAATTGCTTTGATTTTGAGAATATGATTAAATTGAACAAAATGAATGAGTACAGAGACTTGGTAGGTACTTTGATTTTTTTTTTTTAATTTTTCTTGGAAGAAATGGGCCTAATATTTGATCCCAAGGGATAAGCTTAACTCTATATTTCAATGTAGGGGTGAGCAAACATAAACCGAACCGAACAACCGAACCAAACCGAAATGAGTTCGATTTTTTTTGGTTCGGTTAATTCGGTTTTTGGGTTAGTTCGATTAGTAAATATATTTCGATTCGGTTTCGGTTAGGGAAATTATTAAATGAACTAACCGAACCTAAATAAGGGCATTATGGAGATTTTACATGAAAAAAAATCCTAAACCTAAATAGCTAATCTCATCTCTTTGTTTGGTTTGTCTCTCTGCCGACTGCTGTTCCGTGACTCCCGTCTCCTCTCCCCACTCTGTTCTCTTCCCTTGCTCTAATGATCCGTCTGTCTTGTCTGACTGTCTCCACTCTCTATAGTTTATACTCTCCAATCTCCACCTTCATCTCTTCCCCTTCTCACTCTTAAACCTTCAATAGATTCTTTCCTCAACGGGCGACGCCTTCGCGGTGGGGTTTCGGTCAAACTCAAGGCCTATCGCCAGCAGCTCTATCACCGAAACTGAAACGAGAACTTTTTCCCCGACAGCCCAGACTAGCGCCGTCTTCGTCAATCCGGTTTATGTCCCCTCGTCGGCTAATTGAGACACTCATACTCTGATACTCCACAGTCCTCATAGCTGGAGTTGGTAATTAGAGTTGATGTTTAATGATTTTTCAATAATTTTAGTCGAAAATTAGTAATTTTTGTATTCAAGGCTTAGTTTGACTTGGGTGTTAATTTGCCAAAACTAGAGAGCCACCCATAGAAACTAAGACATCGTGGTACACTTTCTAAGGGATTTATGCAGTTAAGAATGGGTAAGGATTTCCAAAATTTAGATTGATATCAGTGTAGATGGGTTGAACTTGATATTTCTTTTGTGGCAGCACATTAAATATAGGAAATGGTGCATGTAAAGTCTGAGAAATTATTAGTGCGATTGGACGTACTTAAGGATCATTGAGATATGTAAGAAAAAGGGAATAAGATTTTGAGTGGTATTAAAGGTAAGCTCCACATACATGAGCATGGATATGTTTAATATGCTTTCCCTTAATTGAGTAGAATTTAATAATTATATATAGATTTCAAAGGAATATGTGAATTGAATTTTAAGCATTCATAGATGCTACCTAAATTGAGCATTTAATGTCATGTACAAGTTGCTAGACACATATAACTCGAGACCTAGCACTAAAAATTCAGCTGCGATAATTAATTCTTGATGGTAAGAATGGTAAGTAAAATGTGAGATTAAAGTTATGAATCTATTTGTTGGCAGCATGTGTAAAGTACACAGCATTGAAATTTATTAAATGTTATTAAATGTTATTAAATGTTTTTGGGATTAATTGTTGCCAGGAGAATTGATAGAAAAATTGATAGTTTTTACGCCTGCAGTCCAAATATTTTTTTTTGTGTGGAAGAATGAACCTTATTTCATAGGGTGGCGATTTCCCTTTTTGTTGTGATTCTGTAAATGGTCACTGGTTTAGCTTTTCGGTAGCATGAAGAGCAAGCAAAAGTCTTTGTATAGCAATTCATGGACACGGGAATAAAATAAAAGATAATGCTTATATTATTAACTTTCTTTACCTTACCTTTTACTTTCTAAATAAAAAGATAAAATGTTTGCTATTAGTGATAGATTCTTAATTATATTTGCTCATATTTTTTTATTATGTGCTATTAGTGGTAGATTCTTTAATAGATTTTTCATTCTTGAATACCATATTTGCTAATTAATTAATTCTTTTTGAGTGATAGATTGAAGATTTCAATGGCAAGTGAAAGCGATAATCCGACTCCTACTCCTAGTGATGCTGCTACGCAGCCTATGCCTATTGGGATGCCATCATCGTTACCAACACCAACTACACAGCAAACTATAATCTGCACTAATGAAAGTGATGTTATCAATTCTAAGAAACGAAAAGCACTTCCACCGAGGTATGAAGTTTAGAAACACTTCACCAGATTCGTAAATGATCAAGGTGAACAAAAAGCTAGATGTAATTATTGTGATAGGGTATTTTTTGCTAATACTAAATATAATGACATAACTTCATTGAAGAATCACATGAATTCTTGCAAAAAGTTTCCTAGTTCTGTTAATGATTCTACTCAAACTGAGTTAGTTTTTCAATCAGGGGATGGGTCAATAGGAACTTGAAAATGTAGTCAATAAGCCATTAGAAAGTATCTAGCTAAAATGATCATCAGAGATGAGTTACTTTTCAGATTTGTAGAAGGGGAAGGATTTAAGGAATTCATGTTAACTTCATGTCCTAGATTTATTGTGCCATCACGATGGACTGTTGCTAGAGATTGCTTTAACCTTTTTGTTGATGTAAAGAACCATTTCAAGCATATATTGAGAACATCTTCTTTTAGAGTTTTTCTAACCACAAACACATGGACATCAATTCAAAGCGAGAATTATATGTGTCTTACAGCTAACTTTATAAACAATGATTAGAAATTGCACAAAAGAATTTTAAACTTTTGTCCCATTTATAGTCATAAAGGGGAGGCCATTGGGAAAATGATTGATAAATGTTTGCGTGATTGGGAGATTAGTAAGGTTTCACTATTACTGTTGATAATGCTAGTTCCAATGATGTTGCAATATCACATATGAAGAAAAAATTGAACTTATCAGAAAATAGTTTTTTAGAAAGCAAATTTCTACATATGAGATGCATTGCACATATCATTAATCCCATTGTCACTGATGGATTGAAGGAAATGAATGATTCAATTGCTTGTATTAGAGGGGCAGTTAGATATGTGAAACAGTCACCTGCTAGGTTAGTAAAGTTCAAAGAATGTGTTGAGTCTGCAAATATTCAATCAGAAAATTTGTTGTGTTTGGATGTTAGTACTCGATGGAATTTCACTTATTTGATGTTAGAAATAGCTCAAAAGTTTGAAGAAGCCTTTAATTTATTTGAGGAAACTGATTCTTAGTATAGAACTGATTTGTTGATGGGAGATGAGATACATGAACATGAGGATTGGGAAAATGTGAGAATGTTGAATCTTTTCTTGAAATATTTTTACACACTCACAGTAACAGTTTCAGGTACTTCTTATGCCACAATTAATACTTTTCTTGATGATATTTGTGGTATTTATTGCATTTTGAGAGATAGACAAAGACATCCTGATGTTGAGTTGCAAACAATGGCAAAGAAAATGAAAGAAAAATTTGATAAGTATTAGGAAAATATAGAAAAAAATGAATAAGCTGCTTTACGTTGCTTCTATTCTTGATCCAAGGAAGAAAAACGTATTTGTAGAATTTTGTTTTAGAAAAATGTATTCAAATGAGCAAGCTTCATCGATTTGTGTGAGTTTGAAAAAAATAATAAAAAAGTTGCTTGTTGAAAACCAAAAAAACGTACAGTCTCCTCTTGAGAAAGTTGGTGATAGTAGTCAATCCCAAGTGAGCCAAATTTCAGAATTTGATGATGATATTGACTCCAGTGCTAGTGTTGCTCTTCTGAATGAATTTAAGAGATATAAAATTACAATTGTTAGGGAAGAGGATAAATCAAAATTGGAGAAATATTTGAGTTTAAATGAGCCTGATGCAACCGATAGCGATAATTTTGATGTTCCCATTTGGTGGAAACTCAATAGTAATAGGTATCTTACTCTTGCCCTACTAGCTCGTGATGTATTAGTGATTCCTCTATCCACAGTTGCTTCGGAATCAGCTTTAACACCGGTGGTCGTGTGCTTGATGTATATAGGAGTTCTTTAATGTCTAAGATGGTGCAAGCCCTTATTTGTGCTCAAGATTGGCTACGTGGATCTTTTTATTATCTTCATGACACTGAGAATGATTTGACAGAGCTTGAGAAAGTTGATGAAGGTAAGTATTTTATTTATATCATCATTTCATTTTTGTTGTTTCAATTGTTAATATGTTATTGCTTTATTTCTTACTTTCTTGTTTATGTATTTTGGAGTTGTCAAAGATTGCGGTGGACAATGTACTTGATAATCTTTAAGATAATCAAGTAATGTACAAATGTTATCTAATGCCTATTTGAATTTATAAAATATTTAACATGTTCTAACTTATATTTTTTAATCTATTTGAAACTAATGATTTTTTTTTAATTTTTTTAAACTTTTAAGGGTACAACATGCATTTATGCTAAGTTGCTCATAGCATCAAGAGACATTTGGGAAAGAAGTAATCTTTAAAAGTTATTTGCATTCAAGATTATTTGTTGTTGTTTTTATCCATTGTTGAAGACTGGAAATGATTTGTTGTTATTTGTTGAAGACTATTTGATGTTGTTTTTATCTATTGTTAAATACAGTTAAGTAATTGTTGTTATTTGCTGCACATTTGACCATTAGAAACCTGAAAATATCTATTTGGTATTAAGCCATTAACTGGTTGTATATTTTGTCACAACATTCTTGTCTATGCCAGCATAAACTGTGTTTGATTGTACTAATTGTCTAATTTTTTTCTAACCTATCCATAATTATTGTTTCATTCAACCATACATTGTAATTCTTACTGATATGAATAATAATAAAATATATATATATATATATATAAACAAGTAATAGACAAAAAAATAATTGAGGGCACCAAACCTTGTTTATAGTTTGTTGGACTGTTTGGTTGCTTGGGAATAGATTGTATACAATTACTTTTATAGATACATTCTATATTGAAAACACTAAATAATAAACTATAAAATTAATTTAACTCAAATTTATTATTGGCTCAAGTCCATTTCTATTAATTGGGTTTGACTTTTATTTTTGAAAAATAAATTTTATTAAAACTAGAGTTTATGCCAACTGATGTCTTTATACAAAGAGTCAAAGACTTCTTTTAGCATATAATAACTAGTTCGTGTTTGATTATAAATCGTATAATTATAAAATAACTACCACTTTAATTCTTAATTTCTTATGGTAATTTCTCAATCTTAAGTTGAGTTTAAAAACAAAAAGAGAATTAGCTTCCTACCCTCTATCCCAAAAGAGCCCGAATTTAATAAAAACGAAACTCAGCATTATGCCTAAGCCTCTGTCACTCCCTTATGCTATTTTCCTCCAGCCATTAAAAATTATTTTCATTTATTACTTTTCATTATATCTATTAGACCAACATTTACATGTATGTGATTTTGTGATTAAAAATATTATTGTAAAGCAATTGAAAGAAAAGTATTTATTTTATTTATTATAATTTTTTAGGTTTATTTTTAATATTTTGTAATATTGATTTATTTAAAAAATACAACATAAATAAAGATATACAAATAAAAAAATAAAAAATTTGTTAAATTCGATTTTTGAAAACCGAACCAAACCGAACTAACCGAATTAGTTCAATTTCAGTTAGTTCGATTAGTTATATAATTCGATTCGATTTCGATTATTTTTAATTAAAAATTCGATTATTTTTAAATAGTTCGATTTTTGGATATCCAATAATCGAACTAACCGTTTGTACATCTTTATTTCAATGGGCCGTATAAAGCTGATCCAAGTCCTTTCGAAGCAAAAAACCCAGCCCAAAAACAATCCCAATTCATTCTCAGTTTCTCAACTCAGCTATCAGCTCAACGGAAACGAGAAAAAAAATTAGGGAAACAAAAAAACTCGCCTACACTCACTTAATTTCCGATTTTCTGGTAAGCTCCTGCGTTTTGCGCTTTCCGTTTGGTTCCTGAGAAATCGTGGCGAAAACTGAAAGAAAATTAAGCAGCATTACAGTATCCGGTCTTGCACGTATATCTCTTCTTTTATTTTTCTATCCTTAAACCAAAGATTGCCTCAATTAACTCGTAGCAGTTTTATTGAACGGGAAAAAGGTTTCTTTTTTGTTTGGAAGTAAGAAAGTTTTGATGGCACAATGCATGATAAAGTTTCAATTTTTCATATTTTTTATAATGTAGGTGCTGTATGATTGATTGGTAGAACACTGGGAGCAAGAAAAAGAGGTTTTTTTTTTTTTTCTTATAATGGGGGGAGTGGAGAATCATATATCTGATGATATTTTGGAGGATTTAAGGTTTTATGGTCGGTTGAAGAAAGAGCGCGGCATGTTGGAAAATTTTAGGCCTAGTTGTAGTAGTAATGGTAAGGGAAATAAGAAGATAAATAACAAACAATGCAATGAAATTGACATGGACGAGAGTTTAAAGGATTCGGATTATGAAACATTTATCAGTAGTTTAGAGCAGTATGGTTATGGCCATGATCATGATCATGATCGTGAGAAAGGGAAGGAGAGGGATCCTCAGTATGAGATGTTTTTGGAGAATCTTAAACCGGATGGGACATCATACTTAGCTGAAATTCCATTGAGTTGTGGCCTTTCAATTATAATTAGGTATGAAGAAAAGGAACAAGGGTCCTTTGAGAATGTGGAAAGAATGAGAAATTTTAAGAGCAATTCAAAAAGGGTAAAGGCTGAGGTTCCAGACTATTTGGATGGGTTTTCAAGGAAAGCAAAGACTGATTTGAGAAGGATAAAGGCTAAGGTTCCAGAAAATTCAGGTGGTTTTTCAAGGAAAGCAAAGGCTGAGATGTCGAAAGCTGTGAAGAAGGATTTGAAGATTGGAGAAAAGAAAAGAAAGCGGAAAGTAAGAGATGTTCCGACTGGGGAAAGAAAGAGTGCAGGAGATGAGAACCAAGTAAAAGAGGAAGCTGAGGATGATTCTATTCCTCCTAGGTCAAGTGGAGAACCTTCTAAGAAGATGAATCTTGATATGGTAGATGAAAGCTGGGAAGAGTTTTTGAATTCTCGGTCTAAGCGTGGCGAGAAAGTGGTATTTAGCGATGAAAGTGGTCATGAAGGTAGACATTGGAAGGATGATGAGAGTTCTTCTGATGTGGAAATACTTGCATCAGACAATATTCCTTTTCATGAAGGAGGTTATACACCATTTGTACCAGCAAAGTCCTATCAATCCTTGGTATATATTTTTCTTTTCAACTCTCTATATTGCTTCTGTTCCTATTTTCTTGCTCCTTTATTTTTTGGTAAAGGGGAAAAACTGGAAAAAGGGTAACAGAAGATATATCTAAGCCTAGATATTTTTATCAAATAGTTAAGAAGGGTTCTAACACCGTCTTGAAAGGGTTTTGTAGTATATTTTTTTTCCTTCAATTTTGTATGTTACTGATTCTTTTACTGTTCTTTTCTGGTTCTATGTGCTTGTTGCCAACAAAAAGACCGGTGATGAGAGTTGGGACGGCATAAAAAATTCTAGCCTGTCTCAGTTTAGGGAGAAGCTTATGAATCTTCTTAAAAAGCCTTATGACCAAGAGGAGTTTGATTATCTTTGGCGAGAAGTAACTTACAAGAAACCAGTGCAGGGTGTTAGAGACTTACGTAATGGACGAATGAAAGCATATTCAACCAAAACTGATGGAAAATCATACCTTGATTGGTACAAAAGTAAGTGTGTTTTCTCCAAATACATTGATGGGCATATGTCTTTGCTTTTTTCATTATAAACACATACACTATATTTATAATGTACATTAGTCACTGAGACCATTGCCACTATCTAGAACAATTTGTTATATGTAGTTCTCTCAAAATGATCCTAAGATATTTTCTCACACAAGATAAAATCTTGCAAGCAAAAGACTTTGTCCTTTCAGTATCCAATTACTTGTTTAAAATGAGTTATCTCATCTCCTGGTTTTGTAATGTTACTGAGTGCTAGATGATTCCTGGAATCTCAAATTGTTCAATAAAGTTTATTCTCCTCACTGTCTGTTGCTTTCTTCTTCTTCTTTTTTTTTTTATTCCACTGCCTTGGAATATTATTTTATGTTTACTATTACAAGATTACTATCTGGGTATTCCTCAAATTACGGCTCTCATCAAAGAAACTGTTTTGGCAAGTGATTTGAGTGATTGTTCCTACCTTTTCTTTTTCCCATCAGATTTTGCAAGTTTATTTTGCTTTGGTTCCATAGCTTTGGTTGAGCAGAATTTATTGAGATTGTTCACCGTTTTTTTCTGTATGTTCAGTATGTATTCAGCATTCATGCAGTTTCAATGAAACTTCTTACACGATATTAGCTTTAATGTTCATTTTTTGTTACCCTTGCAGAACTAAAAATTAAAATTGATGAATTCAGGTGTGATCGACATAAAATTTTATGTCTCTTACGTGGATTTTTCTTTTGGTTGGAGGTGAGTGTTTTATATCATCAGTGCATCTTCTCATTTTCCTCCTGTATCCTGCCTAGGCCTCTTAGATGCTAACAAATTTTCCTAGCAAAATTCAGAGCCGGGTTAAAAAATGGTGGACTGGGGAACAGGGAGAAGAGCAGGTATTTGCGTTATTGATAAACCAAGTTTAATTGAATTATTATGCAGTGAAAAGGAGACACTGGCTTAATAAATACTTCAAGGAGGTTAAGCAGAGCAGAGTGCTAATCTTTATTCTCATCTATATTTAGAGTTAATGAGGATGAAACAATAGAGGGCACTGTGCATTTTCATCCCAATGTGAAGTTGAATTTATGGACTAAGATTAAAGCATTTAAGTTCTTAGATAAATTAGTGTCACCCGCAAGCAAAAAACACTTTAATAGATTCTATATAAAACACTAATTAATTTAAGGGATTAAGGTTAAATCACCACTATATTATGACTCTTAAGGAATTTTGCCACTGTACTTAAATTTTATTGAATTTTGCTACTATAATTTCAATTTTGTTGATTTTTGGACAAAAACTAATGGAATTGAAAATTATCATGGAATCAATAAAATTAAAAGTATAGTGGCAAAATTTACAACTTACATTAACAAAATGTTCCTTGAAAATTTTCAATTCCATTAGATTTTGTCCAAAAATCAACAAAATTGAAAATATATTAGCAAAATTCGACATTAACTCATAGTATAGTGGCATATTTGACGTTAATCTCTAAATTTAAACTAGGCTTTTATTTGAATTGCCATACCTATTTATTTTTGAAAGTCCACTTATGAAATTGAAACCTTTTTCATTTTGCATTCATGCATATTAGCAGAGATTGTTGTACCAACACTAGCATGCATGATTGCTTGGTGCAAATGGCATAAACCGATGTTTTGTAACTAGATGTTTTTGAGAAAATCTTCCAAATATTTAGGGTTGTCTATTTTTTGTCAGAATACTGCTCATGAAGGTTCATTTCAGCCTTGGTTGGACTCTTTATATTTGAATGCATTGGATGGCCAGAGATTTTCTCTGAATTGAGATTACAATATCTCAGCATTCTAAAGCAAATGTTGAGAGATGCAGCTGTAGCAAATTGGGCACAAATGTGTAAGGCCTCACCTGTGAATATTTGGCAATTAAGGAATGTATTCATCAGGTTTCTCTGTCGAAGACCTAAGTTTCGGTGGCCAACGATTTTTGTACTTGATGCAACATTGTGATTCCTTGTAAACTGATACTTTCTATATTCACCGCGGTGTTCTCCCATTTAGCCATTTTTGTGAAAATCTTGTCATTCTGCATCTTGAAAATGGCCATCGTTGTTGAATAGAATGCGTGGCTTCCCCATGCTGAAGTTCAGTACCTTGGCATTCATGTTGTACTTAATTTCTCCATCATATAGTAGCTTCCTGATGTAGTGCTCTATGTCTGAACCAATGAGACGTAGAGTGTACTCTGTCAATGGTGCACCCTGCTTGCAATATAATACATTACTTCTCTTCAGAGCAGAAACATCCGGCATATCTAAAGAAATGGAAAGGCTGTTATGCATGATCCCTATAATCCCTTAATTATTGAATGAGACGGAACAAAGTATATTTGCATTTTTTGATAAATAAATAAGCTGATTTGGATTCAAGGTAATCTATTCTTGGTTCCTGCAGCAAGATAATTATCCCTTGGGGCTATGGATATCCTAGTCCTGACTGAAAACGAAGTTATTGAGTTACTCAACATCAGGAGTAAGAAATTTAGAGTGGATTACCTCGTAGTGATCCACAAGCTCTTGGAAGTAAGAATAAACTTTGTTGCAAGTTTCAGGAGTCCACACGAACTCATCAGTAGGGTCAAGTATAGGTGAGTTTTCCATCTGCGTCTGATCGAACTCAGAGGTCTCTGGATCAATGTAGGCGGCATAGATTCTGACGTGCCGCGTGACACTGCTGAGCCACTGCCCTCCGTATTCTTTGCTCATGTTTTTGCTCTTTACATTCAGTTGCGGTTCCACTGGCCTCGGTTGTGTACTTTGTTGCTTCACCTTCTCTTGCTCTTCTTGCACTACTGCTTCCTGTGCTTCTTCTCCTACTTGAGCTTGCTGTTGAGCTGAAACTGAAACAACCCTCGGCTTTCTCAAATCTCTTTTTCCCCTACCCCAACCCAGCATGGAGAATTTAGTGCAAGCCATGTAAGAGGAAGTTGCAGCCATGATTGAAATCTTTAGGCTGAGTGGATTTTACTCTGATACTCCTTGTTGTTTTAATTTATATATATATTCAGAAATTGCTTTTGAGGACCCCTGTTTTTGTTAAATTCATTTTGAGCCATGTAAAATTTGATCCATTGGTTTTGTGGATAAGGCTTCTTGTTTTCATATCGGGGTGGATGTGGTGGAGAGACAAAGAAAAGTGCCGGCCATGAATTGGACAATTGGCCTTTTGGCAATCTCCCTCCTAACCGTCAATCTGACGTTTATGGCTTAAAATCAAATCAAAAAATGCATCATCACATGACAAAGTTAATGGTGAGGATCTCAAAAATCATTTTAACTGAGGGAAGGGGTCAAAGTAAGGATCTCTTAGCTACTTACTACACACAAAATGCATTTCTATCAGAGGTAGCCAATCCTACCAATGCCTAGCCCCCGGGGAACAACTAACCGCATTCAATATTTCAAACACAAACTTGGCTACTTGCTTGCTTGCACACGGAATATGATCAAAATCAGAACAACAATTTTATTTCCTCAAGCTTCTGTAACATTTCATTTCTAAATTCCTCCTGTTACAAGGTACTTAATACAAAAGGTATCGCCATGAAAAAAAGCAGGGAAAATTAAACTAAAGAAAAAAGGAAATAAAAGAGAGCCTATGGACACTAAATAATTCTGCAGCGGCAGAAAGCCAATATACATAAAAATTTGCTCACCCTATATACAGCATAGCATATTCAATTCCTCTATTGTAAGGCCGCATGCTTGACACTTGAACCTTCACTAACCAGAAATGATTCTGTCATCTTTACCTATTCATTATCCGAATAGGTTTGATTAACTCATCAAGATCATCCAACACTATATCTGAGGAATCATTGTCACCAAAGGTCGTTTGATCATTCATCAATTGATGAATTTCCCCAGTGTCGTCATCGCTAACATCAAGCCTAATGTAATCAGAGAATTTTCCATCAAAGAACATGTCATCATCATCTAGTGCCCGGTGGCTTTCAGGCACCATTCTTTTAGGCGCCAACATGTCAATACCAAAGTATCGCCTGTGAGCATTGTTATGTTTCATTGACCTTTTGCTTTTCTTTCCCTTGCTCTGGATTTTGGGGTGGTGAAGCTTGCATTTAGATCCTTGAGGACAGGACCCTGTTGCTTCAAAGTTGGGACAGACATAGCTGTGCTTCTTCCGGCACTGAGAGCAGAAATACATTCCATTTCACTTATTCAATGTTAGTGTGGTTTGTGTGTGCATTAGAGAAGAGAGTAGCTTAAAGAAATCTAAAACAACTGATGATGACGATTACTCACAGAACCTAAACATATTTCCAAGAAAAGGAAAAGGGCCAGGGGGGGTGGGGGGTTGATACATATAGGTGTAAAAATAAACTCAAGTTTACAAGTTGAATGTATAACAGATCATCATTACAAACTGCTTATTCAAGAATTTCCCAGAGAATTCAAGAAAATCCATATGAAAAATGTACATATGCAATGAAAACTGTATACCACAAGACCTTCAAGTACTGTCATCATTTCTTAGAAAAATGAACATGTGAATCAAATTAAAGTAAATATCAAAGCAACAACTTAAACAAATCTGGTTATGAAAGTTTGGCAGGTCAGAGAGTACACAAAGTTGAAAGATTTTCTTTTTGTTTTCAAAAGTTGAGAACAAAATGTTACCCTATTTTTTAAAAGTAAATTTCAACAATTTTCTAATATTAATTATTACGACCAGTGTAAACCAACCAAGAGAATGCAAGACAAAAGATATCTGTATAACATGATATTAAACAGGACATGGCAAATAAATGCAAACAATTACTTTCAAAATGATATGGCACTACCTCGTTACCATCAGCACAATAGCCCCTAAGAAATCCTTCGCAAGTAGAGGCATTTGGATTCACATGTACATGTCTATAAGGACAATTTTCATTTGTGCACAAACCTGCCAGTAATTTTGTCAGAATTCTGCGTTCATGCAATTAGATATAAGAAAAGCACAATCTACAAAAAGAACACCTTGCAAAAAATATGAACAATCAGGCATTCTTTCCGGAATGACCTGCACAAGAATCCAAAGGATAGATGTTAGTCATAAAACTCAACACCCGGCGGAACGTCAAGTCAACCAGATAAGTTCTGAACCTTATGAGTCAATTTGCAGCTGGGATTTGAACATAGACCCTTGAGAAATTTTGTGCATACAGCAATTTTGGAAGGATCATGAATATAGGGACACTTTCCATCATCTTTGTTGCATTTTCCAAATCTTGTGAAAAATTGACAGTACTTCCGCTTTTTAACCAATCGTAACCTAGCAGTGTGCAAGCTCCATCGAACTTTCTCGCTTGCCAAAACACGAGTGCGTTTCTTTGGATCTCTAACAAGCTGGTTACCATTGCCAATTCGAACATACCTGCAGATGGAGTTCATTTTAATTTCATATATTCTAAGTAATTCATTCAATTTAATGTTTTATGACATGGAACGTCAACATACTCATCATTCCCAATCACTAATCTCCTTGGGACATAAGTTTTTTTGGTACTGTTTTCTGATAGGTGACCACTGGAGCACGACGACTCGTCATCTACACAGAAAGTAAATGGAGTTATAAGCGCATTACAAAACTTTAAGAAAAAGGACATCAACATCAGCTTCGACTTTAGGTTAGAAAAAGGACATCAACATCAGCTTCGACTTTAGGTTCTGATCAGAAACTAATAGAGAAAAGTAATAAACACCACAATCATGTGTTTTTCTGCAACAAAATTTCTAAACAGATTATGAGGAGTCCCAAACAAGCACTTTGATACAGCAATACCAAGCCTTGCTCCATAAGAATATGGTCACATTCCATCAACTTGGTGAGCAAGTAATCTGATGTTTCTTCATTTATGCTACCAACAAACCCAACACAAACTGTCTCTTTCTCATCATTTAACAATCAGAGAAAAGCATACATAACTTTCATTTGATAAACATGGCTGTTCAATTCATCTTCTACCAAGCTAGCGTCCCAGAAAAATTAACCAGTGTTGGAAATCAAAGAGGGGTAAGCATAAAACTTAGTCTCTGAAGCATTAATCGCAACTGTGCTTCCCAAAATTAAAAAATGCAAACTTGCACGTCAGAAAATTTACCTACAGCCTCTTCCTGTTCATCATCCTCCAAATTAAACTTGTTGAAACCCAAATGACGGAATTTCATACTAACAAACTGGATTTACTCAGAGAAAAAGAACATGGTACTAATTCTAATACCAAAAAAGTTACTGCAATCTCAAAACAATACATGAATCATCTATGTAGTCTTACATAAATGCAAATATAGTCACACCACAGGAAACAGAAAGTTGCATTCAGTAGGAACAAAAATCTTTCCGATAAATGCAACTACACATCCTCAAAGAAGCTTTTGATTGAATCCCACTCAATGGTTGCCCTCACTTGGATCCATCAGCCTTGTTAAAGGCCATGGGAAAAATGGATTCTTGTCAATGAGATTGACTCACTTATCAATCAACTAGAGGATGTCAATTTCCAGCATGTCCTTAGAGAGGGTTTGCTGATTCTTTGGCAAAGTATGGTGTAGATAAGGAGACAATGTTCTTGGCATGGTGGTGATCTGTTACATTGTGAATGATGAAATGGCAGAGATGGTTTATTGATTCTGTCTATCAGTTGATGCAGCCTTTTGCTTTGCTTGTTTGTTTTGGTTGGTCTGATTCAGCTTGTGTTATTGATACTTTTATTGCTCTGATATAACTTGAGTACCTCGCTAGTCTGTAGCTGCTTATGTCTTTTATCGTTTGTCTCTTGTTTTTTTTCTGGGATTTTACGATACAGAATCCAGGTGTAACTCTTTGTATTTTGATAGGAAAATATGAGGCAGTATATGTACTGACAGTCATGTAGGTATTGATTTTGTACGGGTTTATGTTGCAGACAGCTCCATCTTGGATCTGCTCTTCTCATGCTGGTTTCCCCAGCTTTTACCCATTTTGGGACATTCAATAAAATCTCATTATAATTGAGCCAAAAAAAACATCTGCCACTATGTGTTCAATTTCTATTAGGTTTACTTGCAACCACATTTGGAGTTAAAATAAACATAAACAAGGGACCTAAAAACCACAATGAGATAAATCAAGAGTGGAGAACCTGATATCCTCTGAAGGGAATGCCTTGAAGAATCCATTTTGTAGCGCACTGAACCAATGCGGAATACACGTTCGCCTACAATATCAAATATTTACATGAAACATTTCACTGAGGCATCCTTTTCAAAACCATTAGATATAATGCTTTTACTTCACAAAGTCCGAAAAAAATTTTTGTTATGTACCAGACCAAGATCATTAATTGGCCTACCTGGCCGAAGGTCAGTACCATGAACAACCTTATGACAAGAGTAACTTCTTTTGCCTGTCCCAGAAACAGTGCCCTTCTGTTCTCTTTTCTTTCTTTCTGCTTCAGCAACTGCTAGTGTAGCTTCCTATTAAACAGTAACAGAAATTTTTAAGAACAAAGCCTAGACTTCTGTCATACTTCAGTTTTCAAATATATACGGAAGACTAGTAGATGACACACCCTACCTCATTAGCTTTCCTCGAATTCCTTTCAATGGATTTCGACCATTTCAAACTAGAACCACCAACACTAAACACCTTTGATTTCCTAATTGAAAATCCATTAATCGACCTGGTGTAAACAGTATTTCTCTTTCTCGATAGCAGCATCTTTCGACTGCAAAAGAAAATTAATTTACTATTTTCTTGAACAACATACACAGGTGCATAACTAAAACAAGAAGCTACTGAAATAGGAATTATACCTGATTGTAGACAAAGAACTATTGCAGGAAGAAACTGAGTTTAACTTTAAGCTTCTCCGGTATGTCATTCTTTTCCAAGGAAACAGTTGAGGAAGGACCTTTGGACAACGTAGTGAATTGCCATCATTATTTGAATGCCTTGCACTATGCAGAGTCCAGACCAGAGAGAAT